CATTGGTGTTTGGTGATGAGTTTTTGGCTCAAGGTCTGCATTTAAAGTCACACATTTATTTTTGAACCTTGCCTTATACACAGAGGCCAAACTGTTGCTATAAAATTAGAAGCACACAATTCTCTAGAATATCATTATATGCTTAAACATTAGGATTTGTACTAATTTTATGGAAAATACTAAAGTAGTCAAACCTGTTCATTAGAAGGGGTGTCCCAATACTGTGTGTGTGTGTGTGTGTGTGTGTCTCTCTCTGTGTGTCTCTGTGTCTGTGTCTGTGTCAATTTTAGATTTTTATTTTTTGATTGTATATAATATGATTTAATTGTCTAAATTAATTTACACCAATCAGATAATGGGGTATATGTCGAACATCACCTTACCAAACCCAGAAAACAGGTCTCATTGCATCTGCTTTTCGGAGAAAGCGTTAACAGCCGTATTAACTAACAGCGGTATCTATGCACTTTTAAGGTAATCAGTTAAACTAGCTGCTTGTTTTTATTGTTGTCGTTTTATTCAATTTTGATGGAAAAGTAAGAATAAAATAAATAAATTAAAAAATAAATAAAACACTTTTAGATCTCAATCCGCATATGTGATGGGCATTGGTTATGATCATCTTTGGTATCTCCTTTGGCATCTTGAGTAAAACAGTTCTATATTTAACGACGCAAATACAAAAAAAAAAAACCTGAACTGGAAGCAACGAGACCTGTTTTACAGAACATGGAAGTCTGTTGTGCATATTCTTCATTAAGGCCCAATCAGCTACTGTATATTTTCACTTTTTGCATTGTACTTACATTATAATTATAATGCATTATAATTACATAAAATATTATTTAATTAAATTTTATATATATATATATATATACACACACACTTTTTCGCATTTCGCTTTTTTGGCATTATACTTGCATTGTACATTATTATTTTTGTCAATTAAGCATGTTACAGTTGAGGAAAATTGTATATTTCCATTCTCAGAGAACTCCAGCATACATTTATTCATTTGTCAGACGCTTAAGGAAAACAACAAACAATTCATCATGAGGTGGCAATAAACAGGAGAAGTGAGGAGCCGATGACTGATGAATGACTGGAGAGAAGCTGCGGTGAAGATGCTGTTAAATATAGAAAGCCGTGAGAGAATGATGCATCTGCCTTTAGATCATCTGTACTCACTGTTATTGAGTAAGTCCTGCATCACTGTGGCTCACAGTTACTGTAAGTGATGTGATCAAACCAGTATTAACCTTCAAGTCTACGTGAAGATGTGCACTGGCCATCAGAATTAAATGTATTGGTCTTTAACCATCAAATTATATTCCAGTTCAGTTTGACCCACAGTTATTAAATAATGTTTTTCTTGAAATTCTGTCACTACTTGTCATTTAGGGTCTGGAGTGTTGTGGGACATGCATTTATTACAATTACATTTATTACATTTTTTTATTACAATTATGATGTTAACAGGTCAGTTTGACCCACACATTTCACGGTTAAAACAGATACACAGACCAAAAAAATTACCATCTGAAGGTATTTACATTAAAGCATTTGGCATGCTTTTATCCAAAGAAATATATGTTTCAATTAAGGTGTAAATTTTTATCAGTTAATGCATGTGAATTTTGCTGGGAATTGAACCCATGATCTTGGTGCTCAGAAAAGCACACACACAAAAAATTTAAAATACAAATCAATAATTTTAACAAAATGTACATTTAAAATGATGTAGACCCATGATCTTGGCATTCAGGAAAGCACAAAATAAAAATTAAATATAAAAATGTACATTTAAAAAAAAAATATATATATATATATAATTACATTTACATTTAATTATATTGAGGTATACTAATAGTAAGCTTCAACCATCAATTCTATGTAAAGCCATTAAAACTAAGCATGGATCTTTAACACTTATATAATATTCCAGGTCAATTTGAACCACAGTTTTACAGATTTTAAAGTGTTTCCATGTTTATTTTATTTTATTTTATTTTATTTCATGTAGTATTGTGTGAGAAATATTGAATCCAGTTTGACCCAGAATTGAATGATTGTATTCAGGTGTTCAAATGCTTGAGTGGCTCTGAAAGCATCATGAGATCATTTCTGAGCATGCTGTTCCTGAGTGTCGGTCTTTGGCAGGTCAGATGTGAGCTGAATGATCTGAGATCACTCTTGATGTGATTAGCAGGGTCTGGAGCGGCTCTCGTGTGTCTCGGGAGACGCTGCTGTTGTGTGGAGCTTCAGTATGACGAGCACGCAGAGCAGAGTCTTATTCAGCAGCCCAGGAGGCAAGCGCTGGATCTGCTCGTGATGCTCGCCGTGCTGGATGTGTGTCTTTGTGCTGCTGTGGAAGTGAATTAGCGTAGTATGACGAGCACGCAGAGCAGAGTCTTATTCAGCAGCCCAGGAGGCAAGCGCTGGATCTGCTCGTGATGCTCACTGTGCTGGATGTGTGTCTTTGTGCTGCTGTGGAAGTGAATTAGCGTGATCTGTTAGCTTTTTTGACATTTCAGGTAAACACACAACAACCCAGAATCAGCTCAGACTTGCAGAAATACTGGGTTTTATGTATGTGTTGGAGACATGTTCACATGGAGCTTTGGTCAAATTTGAACTCTCTTCATACTGTTTTCCTTATCATAACTCTTCTACAAAGGAAAGATCATCGGATGCACGTATGCATGTATTTTTTGCGGTAACATTCCCAAAGCTTTCTGAAATCTTCAACATTATAATATGAAATCTGCATTTGACTTTTATTCTCAAAACAATATTTAAAAAAGAAAAAGAGCAAAAGAGTACCCTGGGAATATGTACTGCATGATGGGGAATTATTTCCTCAACATACATAGAATTTTACTGTTGGACAGGCAAAAATGCTTATGTTACATTTTGTTTTTATTTGACATAAAAATAACTCATCCATTTGGGAAAAATCTTTTTAAATTGTCTAAGATGCTGTGCTGGTCTTGAAACAAAACAGCCCAAAACCACTCTAAAACCAGCTAACAGATCAGGCTGTGAGGGCTTAGGCTGGTTTCAGCTGTTGTTTTCAGCAGATTTTTGTATTTTAAGAAAAAATCCTCAGAAAAAAATAACAGGTGCTGGAAAATTTCTCAGTTTAGTTAAATTTACAGACATTTTCTTTAACCCTAAAACACAACGAATGAAATGCATAATTCAAATGCCAGTGAAAATCAATAAGGGAAATATTAACACAGTACATTATGGGACCTTTTTATGGACTCATCTTAGAGTGTACGAGGAGACTTCTCAATACAAACCAAACAATTTAAATTTGCAATGAATGTGCAAATGAAAAGTTTTTTTGGGGGGTAAATTACGGCTGTGCTGGTTTCAACTGGTATGACATGCTGGTCTTCCAGCCTGACCAGACCCAAAACCCTCTAAAATCAGCTAACAGATCAGGCCTAACAATTTAAATGTGCAAGAAATTGCCAAACATGTACATTTAAAAAAAAAAAAATCTTACTTATTCTTACAGATTTTTTACTGAATAAATCTGGTTTTAGAGTGTTTTGAGATAAAGCAGGAGTGACCAGGTAATAAAACCATCATAAGCAATTACAGAGAGGGCATTTATCAATTAAACCTGGATTTGGAAACAAACATCACGTCTGGCTATAAGGCCAGTGTACAATGTTTGCCTTTGAAAACCCCAAACAGGCCATGCAATATAAGTGCAAATTTAAAAAATAAAAGCATTCCTTATGCTGTAAAATAATGAATAATTGGTTTTAAAGGGTTTTGGAATCAAGCGTGGGTGACCAACTTAAACCAGCTAATTAAACAATTACAGGTGATTACAGAAAGGGCATTCTTTTATCTATTAAATCTGGATTCAGAACAAAATCAAAAATCGATAATGGCTATAAGGTTGTGTATGATGCTTGCTTTTGAAACCCGAACAGGTCATGCAATAACATGCAAATACATTTTTTTTTTTTTTTATTAAAAGTTGCTTACCTCCTAAAAAAAAAAAAAATTTAATTCAGCCTAAGCCGGTCATGCTAGTCTGAAGGCTGTTATAGGCAATACAGAAAGGTAATTTATCTATTAAATCTGGATTCAGAACAAAAACAAAAATCGATAATGTCTATAAGGTCGTGTAAGATGCTCGCCTTGGAAACCCAAACAGGACTAATTACATTCGCAACGCCAAAACTAGTTCTCCAGGGAGAGTCAAACCTGTGTAAAGAGAGTGAGAGTGAGAGTGAGAGTGAGAGCGGAAGACCCGCAGCATCAGCACCAGCGGATCTCCATGACGACAGCAGCATCTCCAGCATGGTGCAGAAATCCCGCAACGGTGGCGTGTATCCCGCGCCGCAGGCCGAGAAGAAGCTGAAGGTGGGCTTCGTGGGGCTGGAGGCGGGCGCCACGGAATCGAGCCGAGACGGCGCGCTGCTGATCGCGGGCGCGGAGGGGACGAAGCGCGGCAGCATCTTGAGCAGACAGCGCTCCAGCATCTCCGGGAAGAGGCCGCCGAAGCGCAACGCGTTCTACCGACGCCTGCAGAATTTCCTCTACAATGTTCTGGAGAGACCTCGCGGATGGGCGTTCATCTACCACGCTTACGTGTGAGTACCATCAAAACAAAGAGCTTTCATCATCTCGCTTTTGTTCGCGCACTTGATGAGATGTTTACAGGGTGGCGACAGAAGAAGGGCTGCTTTCTGTTTCGCCTTTGTATCAATCGAACAAAGGGATCCTTGGTGTTTCTTTCATATGAATAGTTAAGATTAGAGCCAGACCTGCCCAAAGAACCCTTTCATTGATATCGTCTTGTGTTTCTTGTAAAAAAGCTCTTCAGGTTTACAGCGTGGCAGGATTGTTCTATGATAGAACATGATGTGACTTTTCCTCAGTTTATTCTGTTACTCTTAAAATGCTTTGTTTAAATGAAGATCTGCCCAAAGAGTATTTCATATACTGCAGTGAATCGTTCTGTTTGGGACTTTAGGCTCTTGTTCCTAGGGTAAAGGGTTGTTGCATGACAGTGAACTGTTATCTGCTGCATTTCTGTTGTGCTTGTCATGCATGTTACAGAAGTTATCACAATAGAAGATGGTGCAATTCCTTCCGGTTGCTCATTTTATAATTCCGAGAAGATTAAAGCAATAGTATAATGGTAATGGTATTAATGGTTATGTTTAGAGCCAGATCTGCCCAAAAGAACCCTTTCATGCTTCTGTTCCTTTTGGAAAAGTGCTTCATGTTTAACACATTGAGTATCAGGATTGATGTAATCAATAATGTGACTTTTCTTTTGCTAGTTGAATATATCACTCTAAAATAGCTTAACCCTTGTATTATGTTCCGGGTCAATTTGACCCATTTTGATTTTTGAGCTGTCTGTCAGAAATACCAGTTAACCTGTGAGTTTATTCTTGATATTTTGTGACTTTTTCTCATTTAGGGCCATGAACATGCATGCAAAGTGAGGATACACTGATGTGTTTTGAAGTGCACACACATAAATTTGTTACGATTTTGATGTTCACGGGTCAATTTGACCCACATTTTTTTGTTGTTTCAAGACAACCGACCGTACAGACCCAAATTAAGTATATTTCTTGGGTATATGTTGTTATGTTGGTGTTTTACTACCCTGGAAAGGGAAAAAAGAGCCTTTTCTCATTATTTTCAGTGCTGAAAAATACTTTCTCAGAGCAACAGACCGTACAGACCCAAATTAAGTATATTTCTTGGGTATATGTTGTTATGTTGGTATTTTACTACCCTGGAAAGGGAAAAAATGAGCTTTTCCTCATTATTTTCTGAAAAAGACTTTCTCAGACTCAGATGGTAAAAGTGAGCTATCATTTATATTTTCAATGTATATGAAATACTATTTAACTTATCCTTTTCTTCCAGAAATTTTGTAACTTTTTCTCATTTAGGGCCATGAACATGCATGCAAAGTGAGGATACACTGATGTGTTTTGAAGTGCACACACATAAATTTGTTACGATTTTGATGTTCACGGGTCAATTTGACCCACATTTTTTTGTTGTTTCAAGACAACCGACCGTACAGACCCAAATTAAGTATATTTCTTGGGTATATGTTGTTATGTTGGTATTTTACTACCCTGGAAAGGGAAAAAATGAGCTTTTCCTCATTATTTTCTGAAAAAGACTTTCTCAGACTCAGATGGTAAAAGTGAGCTATCATTTATATTTTCAATGGAAATGAAATACTATTTAACTTATCCTTTTCTTCCAGAAATTTTGTAACTTTTTCTCATTTAGGGCCATGAACATGTCTAAACAAGTTGTGTTCCAAATTTGAAGTTGATATAAAAAAAATGTTTGTTTAGGTGTTATTCCAAAACTAGCCACCGGGTGCCATTCAAACTCCATTTATTTTTTTATTTTTTTTAATGCAATTTTTCTGTCACAAATGTGTATATATATATATATATATATATATACCACCAAATATGGAATCTTGAGACTCAGACCTTTCCAACGATATTTTGTCAAGATTATAAAAAGTTTTGATTCTAAAAGACCGTAAAATATTTTGTAAAATGACACCCCCCACTAAGAGGGAGGAACCTGCTAAAAAATTGTAAAGTATCATTTCCATGGCAATGCAATGTCCAATTTCAAAATGGTTGGTTCACTGGATGAATTTTGAGGTTTTAAGCTTTCAAATGATATATAATTTATGATGATTTCTAAAACATGTGATTGTATTTTTTGTGACAAAGGTCAGAACTCCTATTATGATGCACATGTTTTGAGGTGCACTCTTGTCATAAATTAATCTATTACTGTTCCTACGTAATTTACAACAAAAAACAGTGGTAAAATATCTATTTAGGAGTCTTAGATCTTTCCAACGATATATAGTTTGTCATGATTAGATCAGGATTTAACTGTAATATAGTAGTATAGAATACAGTAATATAGAAGTAAACTTCTGCCAGTGGGACGGTGACACTTAAGGGGTTAAAAAAGTGGTTAAACACATTTTTAAAAATCATACTTTTTGATATTAATTGTTTGTACTGTGACAACTACTGATATTAAAATTGTTCCATTCATACCTGATTCCTTAATAATGTGATATTTAGGGAATTGCATTGAATGCTCCATCAAAATCATACCCAGAAATAATACATAATACAAGGGTTAAAATAGCTTGTTATATGAATAGTTTGATTCAGAATCATATCTACCCAAAGAACCTTTTTATACTGCAATGAATCATTCTGTTTGGGACTTTAGGCTCCTGTTCTTCATGGTAAAGAGTTAACGACAATGAACTGTTATCAGCTGGACTTATCTTGTGCATTTTTTATTATTTATTTTTGCATTTTACAGGTGTTTTAGCAATAGACAATGGTGCATTTTCTTTCTGGTTGCTTATTATATCATTCAAAGAAGATTCTTTAATGATTTTTAACAGTATTAACAGTTCATTTAGACCAGATCTGCCCAAAGAACCCTTTCATGATCATTGTCTTCTGTTCCTTGTGGAAAAGCGTTTCATGTTTATCATGTTTACAATTGATCTAGTGTAGAAGATGATATGACTTTTCCTCAGATTGTTTAATATATCACTCTAAATAAGCCTTGTTTATATGAATAGCCACCCAAAGTATCTTCTTAAATTGCAACGAATCATTCTGTTTGGGACTGTAGGCTTTTGTTCTTAATAGATAAGGAATGGTACACAACAATGAAGTGTTATCAAGTTATTGCAATAGAAGATGGTGCCGTTCCTTCTGGGTGCTTATTATGTCATTCTAAGAAGATTAAAGCTTTTTTTTTAATGGTATTAATTGTTCAGTTTAGAGCCAGATCTGCCCAGAGAACCCTTTCACGCTCATTGTGTTGAGGCTTAATGTTCTTTTGGCTTCTGTTCCTTGTGGAAAAGCGTTTACATGTTTGTCATCTTTATAGAGTGGCAGGATTGATCTACTGTATTAATAGAAGATGATGTGACATTTCTTCAGCTAGATTATTGTATCCGTCTTAAAGGGTTGTCAAAAGCTTTATTTATGTGAATAGTTGGCATTAAAAATCATATATGCCCAAAGAAGCTTTTTGTACTGAAATGAATCATTGTGTTTGTGGTTGAAAGTCCTTTAGGCTATTGTTCTTCTGGATGAACACTTGTGCATTTCATGCATTTGACTGATGTGTACTTGTTTTAGTAATAGAAGATGGCGCATTTTCCTTCTGGTTGCTCATTATATCTATCTGAGAAGATGCCTTAAAGCTGTTAATGGTATTAATATTTCAGTTTAGTATCCAGGTGAAATGAATCATCAAAACTGGATTGTTTAGCACCAAAGTGAAGCTGTCGTCTTCTGTGCTTCTGTTTTGCATCTAACGCAGTTACGGATGTTTAATAGCAGATTGTTTTATCAACAGAATATGATTCTGTGTGCCTTTCTGGTGGTTCATTATATCATCCTGAAAGCTTGTTTTGTGATACTGATAGTTATTATTTACCCAGAGAATCTTTTCATGCTCAGATTTCATGCTCACAATGTGTTGGGATTGAAGGTTCTTGTTACAAGCTGAAGAAATCATTTAGAGGCACATTTCAAGCTTGTAAGAGATTTAATTTCACATTCCCTTTGTTTTCGCTTGTCCAGAGCTCACGTTGTTTCTCATTCTCTCCACATCCTGGATCTGGATCTGGATCTTTTGTAACTCGTACTGTATTATCAACACCGGGCACAATCAGAGCGAAACACCGAAGGCAGAATGACAAACAAACGTCTGCAATCACAGAAACATGCTGTAAAAACACTGTTTAATCAAGAACTGAAACAGAAAATACTGCATATGGTCAGTTTCCATGCATCAAATTACCATTACAATCATATACTGTGGCATTACTTTGTGGTACTGAGTGAATATCTGTACTATGATTAATGTATCGGGTACACTCTTAAAAATAAAGGTGCTTAAAAGGTTCTTCAGAGCGATGCCATAGAAGAACCATTTTTGGTTCCACAAAGAACCATCTCTTTCTTACCTCTTTATAATCTGAAGAACCTTCTTTCACCACAAAGAAGCTTTTGTGTTCTGCAGATGTTAAAGGTTCTTTATGGAACCATTGAGACAAAAAAAGGTTCTTCTATGGCATCACTGTCAAGCACCTTTATTTTTAAGAGTGTATGTACCATTGTCGGTTGTATCAAAGCTTAATGATGTATTTACAGCATGTTTGGAGACATCAGCTGCAGATGTAGACGTGCTCACAAGCGACCCTGTTTTGAAGCGTACGGTGATACCAGTGCGCGTATCTTCACAGCATTACCCTCCGACTGCGTCTAATCTCACTCAATTAAGCGTGAGTCAGCGGCTCATTGAAGGCAATGTGAGGCGCTGGTTTCAGTACCGTGGCATGTGAACAGCTCCCGTGAATCTCACAGCAGTCCTGACACAGATGCATGAGCAGGAATAGCATTTACACTCAGTTCACATATAAAACTCTGACACACTAGGTCATTATTAGATACAAAAAGAATGGAAAGAAAGATCATTTATAGTTAAAGAATGATGCACAAACATCATAATTGTTATGTTACTGTCATTTCGACCTGGAGAG